AATCTTATTTATGATCCGATTTGGCTAATGTTTTAAATATGTATGCAATACTATTGCAAAAACGTGCTGCCAAGTGGTGCTGAAGTCGAGCTATTACTAAAAATAGCCAAGTGAGAAAAGGGGCCGTGAAGGTCAGATTAAATCGACCTGTTGCACCATTGAGTATACCGACGGTCCTGCGTTGCAATTGGCCCAAAGGATGTGATTTTCCAATATTATTATGCGTTCAAACTTTTAAAGTACGGAACAATGATTCGCACCCATTTTGAAATTGGCACCAACTATACTGTAAAGCTTCTAGGACATTCACTATAGAACCGGGTTATTGTTGCCGCCAGGGAGTGAAGAGGAAAAAATTTATTTCGCTTTGCGAATAACCGTGCTATGAAATGCCGCACAACTGGAGAATTTCAAGAACGGATATAACACTTTCCTTAGGTTATTTAAAGCGGCAAATGACGACCAAACCTTAATCTTAGCAGACAAATGTGCCAATGAAAATCGTAAACGTGAATTGTTGGTGAAAGTGTTGGACCAAAAAGTTTCAATAAAATATATAAAAATTTTGGGCGGGACGAAGTTCGCCGGGTCTGCTAGTATTTACATAAATATTATTTGTGTTAATTAAAATTATTATTACTTATATTTATTTTGTACACTTCTTCTCCAGTTAATTTCAAAATGCAAAGATCACTACACACTTCAGACTTAAACATTTCACAAGGTATACAAACTAATGGTTTTCCAAAGGAAAATAACTTGAGTGCATATTTATCAAAATCTATTAAGTTGCCTCATTTTTGGGAAGATTGTCCTGAAGCTGGGTTTCTCCTTGTGGAAGGACAGTTCGAGATTAACAATGTACATGATGATAATATAAAATTTCAAAACGTTTTAGTTGTTCTTTAAAGAGAGATAATTTTTAAAATTATTGATGTTATCAATCCACATTCTTTGATTAACAAATATGAAACAATTAAAAAAATTTTATGTGATAGATTTTCTCTTAGCGAAGAGAAGAGATTAGAGCAATTATTTTCAAATACCGAACTGGATGGTCGTTCACCATCAGAACTTTATAGACATATGAAATCTTTAGCAGGTTCCAAATCAATTGTCAGTAAAGAACTTTTATTTAAATTATGGAGTAGGAAGTTACCGCAACAAATACAAATTCATATAACTTCTTGTAGTAATCAAAAGACTGAAGAAATTATTTCAGTTGCATATAAATTATTTGATTTGATAAATAAACCTCAATCTTCTAAATCTTTTAATGTTGCTAGAGTAGAAAATAATAATAATAATATTCTTGAACAATGCATTCGAAATTTAACTGAGTTGACAACAGCCATTTACCAAAATCTTAACAAAATTACTGCAGATATTAATGAATTACAAATTAGATCGAGATCAAGAGATAGAGATAGAGACAGAAGTCGTTCTAAATCAAGAAATTTTTCTAGATCTGGAAACGATATTAACCAAAATATTTGTTGGTATCATAGAAAATAATGCTTTTAAATGCATTCAACCTTGTAATTTTAACAAAAATAAAAACGAAGAAAATTCTAATGTTTTAAACTAGATCGTTCCATTATGACGGTGACTAAACGGCCAAATACGTAAACTTAATTTTGGCCTCTAGATTACGATGGCGTTTTCAGAAAATCCGTATCACGCCAAAATTTTGAGATATTTAGGGAGGAAGTTTCAGAGTTCTGAAAGTGAATTTTTCGTCGTTTAAAACACTGTGCTCAGGTTTTGAATTTTTTTCTGGGCAAAGGTTTTGATAACTGATCTTACTGAGCTGGGATCTTTTAAATTCAATGGCGTCCTCCGTTTTTCCAGACTGGCTCTAGTTTTCGAGATAACTGCTTGAAAATCTGCTTAAATTTTAGGTTTTTTGTTAATAATTACCTCAGTTTTAAGGTTATTTTACAAAAATTTTGCACGTGACTGTATTTTGATATTACCTTAGCTATTTCTGAAAATCATGGATATCGGTTCACTATAACATATAGCTCCCATACAACTGATTGTTCAAATATGTGGTTTTGCGTTACAACTCATATTTTATTTCGTAATAATTTTTTATAATATTAGTTTATACACTGCTTGGACCTGAATTTGGTTTCTTTTTAATCCCACTCTGGCATATTTTTGCAGTTTCTGTTGTACGAATGGCTTTTTGATACCTTTTTTGTACTGTGAAAGCTGTTGTTCGTTAAAGGCAAAGTGACTGAGTAATGCTTTCAAATAGTCGGCGGTCTATACCGCGTCTATTTCACATAAGTTGGGAACCAAAAAACAAACCGAAAATCTTCGCGCGCGATTACTGTCATATTAATTGATAAAAAACATCGAAAATTTTGTGAAAAACTTTTACTCATTATATCATTGTCCTAAAGATGAAAAAAATTAAAAAGCTCTGCAATAAATTAAACCAGTTTTGTTTCGTTTGTGGTAAATTCGATTTGAAATCAGACCAGCGTAAATTAGTCTCAAATAATAATGCACTAGCATGCTATAAATGGTACTTTTGCAATCTGAACCTGCACAAAATAAATACACTTCCGAATTCACATGTATTTCGTGCATTAGTACGATTAATTTTTGGTGGACAAAAAAAAAAAAACGATTTTCGTTACCATTCGGTTTACCAATGATTTGGACAAATCCCGGAAAACACGAAGCTGAAAATTGTTATGCATGCACCAACAATACATTTGGTTTCAATAAAAAAAGTAAGTAAATTTAAATAAAACCATGAAATTATGTATAGTTTGCCCTCACCTTAATCGCTGAGTGTATGAAATAGGTAAAAGTTTCTGTATGTTTGGAAGGTACCATGCCTAAGTATAACCAACCTTGGAAAGTCTGCAGCAGATGTCCAAATTAAAAAAATAAATGGTGCAGAACTTTTTTAGTTTTTGTCCGCCGAGCAAACAAACTTAACATTTGTATATCGATGGCTGAGTGGAAGATCTACTTATCTCGACAGCCAGTTCGAAAACGCCCTATCTCAGAAAACTTTTCAACAGCGCCCTACCTCAGAATTTTATTGAAAAACATCCTATCTCAGAATTTTGTTGAAGAACGCCCTGTCTAAAAATACATTGAAAATGTGCTGAGATAGGGCGTTTTTAAATCGGCAGCTGAGATAGGTCGATCTTCCACTCAGCCATCGATATATGCATATATATGTACGTACATATACTCATAAATATTTAATTCAATAGATCGGTCTTGTGCCGTCTACAAAGGTGTACCGAGCGCTTATTTACCTGTTCCACATAGTGATGCATTACAAGTTCCAAGTGATCCATTCGAACTCGAAACTGTCTATGATTACAAACAGTCTATGGCAACGCCGTTATCAGTTGATGATGGATCTGATTACATTCCGATAGAAAACAATTTACCGTCTTTCATATCCCAAGAACACCTAAACAGCATGGTGCGTTAATTAAATCTCTCCCATAACAACGCAATGATTCTGGCATCAGAACTGAAAAGCGTGAATGTGTTAGCACCACGAAAGCGAAGTTTGAAAGCAGTCTTGCTCTATCGCGATAGTAGCAAGAAACCCGTTCCCATCTTGTATGCGGTTGGAATAAAGGAATCATATGAAACAATGCAATTAATCTTAGATTGCATCAAGTACGAAGAGCACAGGTGGTGCGTGAACTGTGATTTTAAAGCTCTCTCACTACACATTGGGATAGTAGAGCCAAATGCAATCACTATACCAAATGTGATTGGCCAAAAAGAAAGGAACAATCGATTGGTCAATTCAATATAGTTCACGAGTCCTTGATAGCGGTTAATAAAATCATGCTTCCCGATTTACATATCAAACTTGGTGTTGTTAAGAATTACATCAAACAGTTGGTTAGAGTCAACGAAACTGCATTCCTATATATGAAAAATAATGCGTTTCCAAAACTTTCCGTTGAAACAATCCGTGAAGGTAGTTTTTTGATTGTATATGGGTGAAAATCTCTCAAGTGGTTGTAAGCCGAATAAAGTGATTTGTGCGAAAATATCTTGACCGTCCAATTTTGGGTGGCCCATTTGAGAGACTTTCGCTCATATATTTTATTATATCTCTCTCTTGCTTTAAGAACCCTATAATTTTTATTTCAGGTGTGCTTAATGGGCCGGACATCGGAAGATTAATGAAGGATCAAGGCTTCTTGAAAATTCTTGATGGCACAGCAGCCGTTACATGCAAGGTTTATATATTAAAGGATGCGCATTGCGCAGGTCCGTTACTCCTCTTTTGTAAACTTGGCAATCAGCTGTTCAGCTTGCCGACAAGGGCGACAAAAACAGAAAATAACAAGCAGCGTGAAAAGTGAAGCAATTAAAATACGCTCAGCAAATGAAATAAATTTACATAGAATAAAAATTGCAACGCAGTGTGCGGTGTGGAATTTTGTAAGCCAACGCAGGGACCCATCGGAAAAAAGATATTTTTTCCGTTTCCCAAGGGATCCGAAACAGCGAGAAAAATGGTTGAAGTTTTGCCGGCGATCTAAAGTTTTTAAACCAAAAACGCGGAGAATTCGTCTGGACTATTTTAAAGACGAACACATTAAAGGGAACTAACTTCCCTGAATTGGGTAAGAATTGTCCACTATTTTTGTTATAATAAATACATACATATGTATGTATGCTCAAGCGAAAGCAAAAAGTCGCCCTGTGACAACATGCGCAGAGAGAGGCAATTTTTATTTCGCGGATTGCGTGACCTTCTATGTATAGATCTTGCGTTGCATGGGATGCAGTTCGAGCTTTAATAAAACATGTTCTGTGTAAAAATCGTTCACCAGAATATGCCATTTTTATTGCGAACTTGATGGAATCTTCTGACGCCTTTGATGTGCACATGTCGCTTAAAATCCATATGCTACACAGTCACTTTGACTTTCACGAGCAACAGCTTTCAACAGAAACCGACGAGGTAGGAGAGAGATTTCACCAATCCATTATGTGTGTTGAGGACCGATTCGCTGGAAAACGATTGAGTTCAATGGTGGCGGACTTTTGCTGGTCGATCGCAGGAGGCAAAGGACATAAAAAAAATTATTCGAGCAATAGAAACTAGCAAAATATGCCAAAACGGGGTTGAAGAGATCCCAAATTTAGGTACAAATCTATACTAATTATATAAAGAGAAGTCCCTTTTTTTGTAACAGGTAATCTCGCGAACGGCTGGTCCGATTTTCATGAAATTTTGTATACAAATAGCTTTCGGTAACCACCATGTTTTAGGCTAAAAAAGTTTACTTTTTTCGGGTAGGTGGACCAGGGACCGGTCTATTCGAAAAAATCTTATTATAGTCCGATTTGCTTAAAATTTAGTACGTAAGTAGCTTTTTAGCATATTTGACCCATTTTTTCCGGGAAGTGGTCCAGGGACCGATCTATTCGAAATAATCGAATTTACGGTCCGATTTGCTTAAAATTCGGTGCTCGGGTAGCTTTTTAGCATGTATTAGCATATGTGATCAATTTTTTCCGAGAAGTGGACCAGGGACCGATCTATTCCAAAAAATCGCATTTATGGTCCGATTTGCTTAAAATTCGGTACGTAAGTAGTTTTTTAGCATATATTAGGATATATGGTCAATTTTTTCCAAGAAGTGGACCAGGGACTGATCTATTCGAAAAAATCGTATTTACGGTTCGATTTGCTTAAAATTCGGTACGCAGGTAGCTTTTTAGCATATATTAGCATATATGATCCATTTTGTCCGAGAAGTGGACCAGGGACCGATCTGTTCGAAGAAATCGTATTTATGGTCCGATTTGCTTAAAATTCGTTACGTAGGTAGCTTTTTACCTGGATAAGCTTATAGATTCCTGTTTTCCAATTTTCATGCAATTTCGAATATAAAAAGCTTTAAGTAACGACCATATCAAGGGGCGAATTCGTCACTAGGCAAGATTTTTTTGCGCCAATCAGAAACAACGGATACTGTCAAAATATAATTATAATATATAATATATCTTAACTAATATATATTTAGAACCGTTTGTTAGTTTTCGCAAGGCTCGAGAGCGGCTGAACCGATTTTTTTTAAACTGCCACCTGCCGCACGTGTCCCAAGGATGGTTTTAGGCTGAAAAAAATCTATATGTAAAGGGGGCGAGACACTTCCCATACAAACCGAATTTCTCATGCTACATATCTCTGAAAGTGTGCATGGTAGAGTTTTGGAAATTGGTGTGGAGATATACTAAATCAATCGCATACCCTTGTGACATCTCCCATACAAACCGAATTTTTCATACTGCTTATCTCTGGAAATTTTTTGGTAGAGTTCTAGAGGTTTGTATGAGATGTACGAAATAAATCGCATACTCTTGGAAATTGGAACTATTGGAAAAGGGGGCGTGGCATCTTCCATACAAACCGAATTTTTCATACTGCCTATCTTTGGAAGCGTTCATGGTAGAGTTCTGGAACTTGGTATGGAGATATACGAAATCAATCGCATACTCATGAAGAAAGAGGGCAGCTGTTGGAAAGGGGGGCGTGGCTCCTCCCATATAAATCGAATTTTTATACTGCATATCTCTGAAAGTATTCATGGTCAGTACTGGAACTTCGTATGGAGATATGTATATAGTTGAAATCAAGCTCATACTCATGGAGAAAATTTGGGCTATTTAAAAAGGGGTGTGAGGCCTACAAACCTACCGACCTTTAGCTATCTTTGAATGAATTTTTTTATTCTTCTGTAGGTGTGTTTGTGAGTGAAATCCTCCTAAATGGTTGTACGGATTTTAACGAAACTTTTTGTGTATTTGAGTGGGTCTCTGGATGGTTTAGTTTCACAATTTAATCCGACAGATGGCGCTGTAGTTGAGTTATTACTAAAAATCTTATTTATGATCCGATTTGGCTAATGTTTTAAATATGTATGCAATACTATTGCAAAAACGTGCTGCCAAGTGGTGCTAAACTCGAGCTATTACTAAAAATAGCCAAGTGAGAAAAGGGCCCGTGAAGGTCAGATTAAATGGACCTGTTGCACCATTGAGTATATCGAACGCTCCTGCGTTGCAATTGGCCCAATGGATGTGATTTTCCAATATTATGCATTCAAACTTTTAAGGTATTTCGTCTGAAATAAGTATATGTATATTGCATTTCTGCAGAACAATGATCCGCACCCATTTTGAAATTGCCACCAACTATACTGTAAAGCTTCTAGGACATTCGCTATAGAACCAGGTCATTGTTGCCGCCAGGGAGTGAAGAGAAAAAAATTTATTTCGTTTTGCGAATAACCGTGCTATGAAATGCCGCACAACTGGAGAATTTCAAGAACGGATATAACACTTTCCTTAGGTTATTTAAAGCGGAAAATGACCACCAAACCTTGATCTTAGCACACAAATGAAAATGAAATGAAAATGAATCGTAAACGTGAATTGTTGGTGAAAATGTTGGACCAAAAAGATTCAATAAAATATATAAAAATTTTGGGCGGGACGAAGTTCGCCGGGTCTGCTAGTAGTATATAAACTAATATCATAAAAAAATATTACGAAATAAAATATGAGTTGTAACGCAAAACCACATATCTGAACAATCAGTTGTATGGGAGCTATATGTTATAGTGATTCGATTTCCATGATTTTCAGAAATAGCTATGGTAATATCAAAATACAGTCACGTGCAAAATTTGAGTAAAATAACCTTACATCTGAGGTAATTATTAACAAAAAACCTAAAACATAAGCGGATTTTCTGAAAACGCCATCGTAATCTAGAGGCCAAAATTAAGTTTACGTGTTTGGCCGTTTAGCTGTGATATTTCAAAACCTAAAAATTTACCTACAGTGTAATGGGAATGAAGTTAAACCATCTCGCCGCCTATTTATTTATGATAAATCCAATAAATTAAATTTTTTAATCGATACTAGTGCAATCGTTTCGGTCATTACTTCTTCAAAATTCTGAAAATAAATTTTCTAAACTTTTAAATGGTTTTCCTTCAATTACTTGTGAACCATATTACACTAAACCAGTGCAACACCAAACGGTTCACAGAATTGAAACAAAAGGAGTGCTATCTTTCTCTAAACCACGTCATCTAGATCCAATTAAATTAAAATAGCAAAAACAGAATTTAAATTTTTAGTTAAAACAGGTATATGTAGACCTTCACACTCTCACAGTGCATCTCCTTTACACTTAGTTCCTAAAAAAGAACCAAATGATTGGAGACCTTGTGGAGATTACAGAAGACTTAATTGCGTTACTATTCCAGATCGTTATCCGTTACCTCACATTCATGATTTGACTATTTATTTAAAAAATAAACAAATTTTTTCCAAAATTGATCTTGTGCGTGCGTATCATCAAATACCGATGGCTGAAGAAGATATACATAATATATACTGCACCATTTGGAAGGTTTGAGTTCGTACGGATGCCTTTTGGTCTAGGAAACAGTGCACAAACATTTCAACGTTGTATTAACGAAGTGTTTTCTGGTTTGGAATTTGTATTTGTCTATATTGACGATATGCTTGTTGCAAGTGATAATGAAGCTCAGCATATTGAGCATTTAAAATCTGTTTTTGAAAGACTTGGAAAATATAACTTGAATATTTAACCTAGTAAATGCATTTTCGGAACAAGTAAATTAGATTTTCTCAGCTATGAAATTACAAGTGAGGGAATAAGACCTTCTTTCGAACGAGTTGAGGCAATAACTAATTTTGAAAATCCACTTTCAATAAATAAATTACAAAAGTTTCTAGGTATGGTGAATTATTACCATAGATATGGTAAAATGTTAGCAGCAGAACAAAGTCCTCTGCACGAAATGGTAACATTAGCAACTAAAAATAAACTTAAACAATTAAATTGGATAGAAAATACAACTACAGCTTTTGAAAATGTGAAGAAACTTTTTACACAGAAAACTTTACTTACTCATTTTGATAAAAACGGCAATTTATCACTTGCTGTAGACTCATCGAATGTAGCAATCGGTGCGGTTTTACAACAAATGAATAACAACATTTCAGAACCACTTGCATATTTTTCATGAAAATTATCCCCTACAGAAATTAATTACTCTACATTTGATAGAGAACTTCTAGCGATATACAATTCAATTAAACATTTTAAACATTTTCTAAAAGGTAGAACATGCACTGTTTACACTGATCATAAACCTTTAACACATATTCTAAATTCTAAATCAGACAGATCACCTCGACAAATTCGACACTTAGAGTACATTGCACAATTTACAGACGACATTCAATACATTGCTTGGAAAGAAAACATAGTTGCTGATACCCTTTTACGTATTCCAGATGTTAACACGATTTTAGCCCAAAACATTAATTTTCAAACATTATTTGAGAAACAACAAAAAGATCAAACACTTTATGGCATCTGATCAAAATTTTAACACTAATTTTAAAGAAATTAATATTCCGGTACTTAACCTTAATATTTGGTGTGATATTTCTCAACAACCTTTCAGACCATTTGTTCCGAATTCTATGAAAAAATCATTTTTGATAAAATTCATTCTTTATCACATCCAAGGGCCTTATTCTGTATCACGAACGATAGGTAAAACAAAGG